GAGCATTGAAGGCGTCGGGCACGGATGCAACTCAACCGTCTGAAACGATGGCGGAGACCCTCTCGCTCACTCTGGATGCACGTTCACAGAACTCCTATCCTCCGCGGGGCCTTGCGGGTCTCCAGAGGCGCATACAGGTCCGAGCCCTTCGCAGCGAGACAACAAGCGAAGCTTGCGATAACACCGCCGAGGCGTGAACTCTGCAACTGCGAAGCCAGCCCATTACACGCATAGCATGATCTGGCTTGCCGTCGCAAAACTCTTTCAGGATGAAAGTGATCTCCGCAGTAGCTCGAGACTTGCACACTGCACTGAGTTGAACAACGCTGAGGCAGCCTGGCGAGCGAAAGCCTGACGGCAGGCGGCCGCAGCGTACGTCATCTTGGAGCCATCCAGCACCACGTGAGGTCTGTTGGTCCGGGAGCACAGCCCGTGCCGCCCGGAACACGCCCAGCGGAGGGGGCTGAGGTCGCCCACGCCCCAGGCCTGCAGGCGGGTCCGCTCGCGAAAAATGGCGCCGTACTGACAGCAGTCGAGGATGGCCCGGGAGCCGGTTGGCTTGCTGGCCAATGCGGTCAGCCGAGGTACGGTCCACAACAGTGGGCCAGCTGGGTGCTCCAGGATGACAGCGACCTTCTTGGTCATGCATGCTGAGATGATGGCCAGCGAGAACTTGACCGTCGCGCTGCCGACCTCGATCCGCGAACGGCCCGCGGGGCGCTGCAGCGCGTCGGGGCGCCCCCAAATGCAGCCAGCGGCTCGGCGAGCGGCGCTCCTGGCTGTCCTCGGCGAGCGGCGCCCCATGACGAGCAGGGCGCGTCCAACCGCACGCCGCTGATGAACCCCTGCTGGATCCAGGCGAGCAGCGGCGAGCGCACTCCAGCCAGGCTCGCATCCTGCAGCGGGCAGTCGGCGATCTCGAGGGTCACGACGGAGGCGCCCAAGCCACGCAGCCGAGTAGCGATCCGCTTGGCCCCCGCGAAGAGCTCCAGGAAGACGCCCCCACCGCGCCTTTCGCGCTGGGCGCGGGCGACCTCCGCCTTCACCCGCAGCTTCAGCGCGGAGGCAGCAAGGCAGAGGGCTCGGCCAGCGGCGGCGCCGGAAGTGGGCGGCGGCCCTGCAGGAAGCTCGCCAGGCCCTCCTCCACCGTTCGCGCGAAGAGGGCGGCGGCTGGAGACAGCATGGTCGACTCCCGCAAGGCCAGGGCCGCCCTCTCGTAGCGCCTGACCGAGCCGTCCGTCCGCCAGCGGCCCCGCTTCTTGATCTCGGGGAGCGTCCGTCTCTGCGAGATCGCATCGAAGGACGCCCCCCATGGCGCAGCGAGTAGAGCTGCGGGCGCAGCACGTGGACCACGCTGACCAGCACGGCGTTGTGAAGCACGGGCGTCAGGTGCACTGCGCCGAAGGACCAGAAAGAGCCCGTCGCCCGCTGGTCTTTGAGCAGCCGCAGGATGTTGCCGAGCCATCCGAAGCCCGCCCAGTCCAGCATCACGCTCTCGCCGTACTCGCCTGTCTTGTTTGCGCGGCCAAGCTCGCGGGCGCCCAGAATGATTCCCCAGAACGGTGAGCCCCCTGTGCCTGCGACTGGTGGCACAAGCAACTCGGCTGACAGGGCGAACAGCTCGCCCGGGCGCAGGTAGGCCATGAAGGCGATCAGGACGGCGATCGCCTCTTCTAGGAGGCCAAACCAGAGCAGCCCGCCGATCAGTCCCATCAGCCCGCGGCAGGGCAACGGCGCGCGGCTGTGGACGGGCACGAGCTTGCGCAACCCTGTCACAGCGCGCCACGCCCTCGGCAGCTGCCGCTGGGCCTTGAGCTCGGGCCACAGGTGCTGCAGGGCGGCCAAGAACTTGGAGCCGTCGTTGGCGGGGTGGCCGTTCTGGTAACGGACGTCGAACCACTTCGTGATGATATCGCCCAGTGTCTGGTGGTCTGAGTCCAGGAGGCCGCCCTGGGTCACGCACTGCTGGAACCAGCCCAGGCGGCGCAAATAGTCCACCATGGTTGACGATCTCACCGACGACAGCTGCAGGACACTCCTTTGCAGCGCGCGGGCGATGGGTTCGGCCACGGCGTAGTGAGCGGACGCCTTCTTCGCGCGCTTGCAGGCTCGCATCGCCGAGGCTGGGCGGGGCCAGAGGCTGGAGGGGCTCGGCAATCTCAGTCTCTTCGATGCCAGCGAGCCCCCTGCCGCCCCCTGGGCTGAGGGGTGCCAGGCTCGAGGAGCAGGTGTCGGAGCTGTCGTCGCTGCCAGATCCCCCGTCGTCGCGAAGGTCGCAGGCGTGGACACCCTTCCTCGTTCGGGGAACGGGTTCGCAGCTTGAGGGAATATCCACGTCCTCATTACGTCAAAGGGAAGCCCCTTCCCTTGGTCCCTTCCCCGGCGGGGGGGGATCCCAGGGGCGGGGTGGTCAGATTCGCATCACTTCTGGGGGTCCTCCTCTCCCACGCCTGTCCTGATCCAGCGCGCCGGTCCTCCTCGGGTCCTGCTCCCCAGGTGGGGAGGAGTCCCAGGGGGCCCCCTCCCCTCCCCTCTCCCACGCCTCCCCAGGGGGTGGCGTCCCAGGGGGGAGTCCTTCTCCTCTTCCTCCTCCTCCTTCTCCTCCTCCTCCTCCTCCTCCTCCTCCTCGTCCTCCTCCTCCTGATCTCCGCCTCCTCCTCCTCCTCGTCCTCGTCCTCCTCCTCCTCCTCCTCCTCCTCCTCCTCCTCCTCCCCCTCCTGGTCGTCGTCGATGTCTTTCAGGGTCGGCGGCACCGGCCGTCAGGCCTTCACAATCGGCCTAGAACTCAATAATGAATCTCCTTTCTGAATCTGCAAAGGCTGAAATCAAGCAAGAACACTCGGCCCTCCTTTGGAGATCCTGGCGAGAGGAATATTTGAACAGAAATCGAGCCAGAAAACCACAGTGAGTCTCATGTCTAGATCTGGCAGGACTGAAATTGCCAGAGCACTATAGTGAGCTTCACTTCGCTTCATTTTGAAGTCTGCAAAAGCTGAAATCGAGCCAGAACACTCGGCCCCCCCCCGAGACTCTGGCAAAAAGAGTGTTTGAAGTCACATCGAAGCAAAACACCATACTGAATCTTTTTTCTGGACCAAATCCAGCCAGAACACCATAATGAGATGAGTCTGATTTCTGCATCTGGGGGACTCAAGTCAAGCAGAACACAATAGAGAGCCTCGCTTCGAGCCAGAAGACCAGAGTGAGTCGTACTTCTAGATCTGCGAGGGCTGAAACCAAGCCAAAATTCTTTAGTGAGTCGATTCCAGACAGCCGCCGGACTGGTGAGACGCCTCCCCCCAGCCTCTCCTGTGGAGATTCGGGTGAAACGAAATCAAGCCAGAACACCCATAGTGAGTCTCACTTCTGGATCTGAGCGGGCTGAGATCGAGCCAGAACACAATAGTGAGCATCCCTTCTGGACCAAATCGAGCCAGAGCACAATAGTGAGTCGCATGTCTGGACAAAGTGGAGCCAGAACACCTTGGTGAGCGCTGCCGGATGACGCTGCCGGATCGAGCCGCCAGGCTTGGGAGACGCCTCCCCCCAGCCACCCCATATGGAGATTCTGGTGGAAGGAATCTCTGAATTCTGTGGAAACCCTCAAGCGAAACGCTATGAGAAAATAACGGCCCCGGGCCTGAAGCTCAGACAGTTCAAGAAAGCTCAAACACGGCAAAATACCTCAAGACGGCCCAAGAGATCCCCAAGACGCCCCACGGGCCGGAGGCTCCAAGAGGAGCCCCAAGAGAGCTCCAAAAAGGATAAACTAAGTTGTTGTTTCATTGTGTTTTTGTGAATTTGCGCGTTCTCGCTGTTACGAGCTTCCGACCACCCAAGACGGCCCAACAAGCCCCCAAGTCCGCGTCAAAACAGGCCAAGAGGCCCCCAAGAGAGCATCGAACCAGCCCAAGAAGGCCCCAAGACGGCCCAAAAAGCCCACCAAGAGGGCTCAAGAGGCCCCCAAGAGGTCCCAGAGAGGAACTCGAGAGGGGAACCCGAACTATAATGTCGAGCCGTTCCTCCAACGATAGCCTCCGAGATCACCAGCAGGCCCCCAAGAACCACCTCTGAGGCTCCCAATGCGCTCCCAAGAGCCCCAAGAAACCTCAGATACACTTCTAACAAGCGTACCAAGAGACCCCCCAAGGAGCCTCTACGAGACCGCGACCTTCCTGGGGCCTTCCTCCAGGTCCCCCTGAAGGGTTGGCGGGACTGGCCGCAAGGCCTGTATACCACACCCTCCCCGCCCCAGTCAGATTCCAACCGCCGGTGTCACGTTCAGTATATAACATCCACGCCCCAGATAGGAAATGTGGTATACAAAACCCACGGCCAGGACCCTCGCTCCCTCCCCCCGGGGCTTTTGGGTATGGTATACCCGTTTTCTGGACGGAAAACTTATGGGCACTCCCAAGGCTTGTCGCAGGAAGTTCTTCGAAGTAGTGAATTGAAGGACCGTGCGCCTTCCAGGGCTTCGGCCGCAGAGGGAGAGAGCACGAACCGGCCCCAGGAGCCCTGTGATGCCAGCACGGCGCCCGAAACAGGAGGCCCACCCAAGAGGCCCAGAAGCCTCCCAGAGGCCCCAAGAGGCCCCCGAGAGGTTCCCGAGAGGTCATCGCAAGGCCACCAAGAGGCCGAAGGGGCCCCCAGGCGGCATCCCCAGAGACCCCAAGAGGCATCCAATAGGACTCTGGCCCCCAGCCCAGAAACGGTGGCGGGATGGGCCGCTTCACTCTAACTTGCCCATTGCTTCCTGATGGAATTCGATCGCATGCTTCGCTCGTAGTGCCGCTTGACATAGCAAATGCACCTCTACAATCAGGCCATCTCGCCACCCCAAACAATGAACACCAACGCATAGAACAACCGTATATCATACGAGCAGTGCCTCTAAATACATAGCGATGGGGTCTCTGTTAGATTCAATGTTCTGCGTACAGTGTTGCTGGAATTCCCATGGGCACTATTACTCATCATGCTGGACGCCTCTCATCAGCCTCACACGGTCGTCTACAAGATGGGCCTTCCAACAAACGCTTAAGACGTCCACGCGCGATAACATTATGCGAGCGAATGAACGGCACATAAAGCAACACAAAACGACTCCCTCCATACATTGGAGGGCCCCGGAGCTGCTTTACAGAGCGGTCCGAGATGGGACGGGAAAACCAACGCGGCATCGCGCGCCCAAATAGGTGATGCTGTTCCGTCTACGTGTCCAGACGGCTGGGCGTCGGATGAGCATCGCCTCCAGATATTCTGGAGAAGCACAGAAAGCGAGGACTGGCGCCGCCGGTAATCACAAAGTTCTGAGCACAGGAAGCGCTAAGGGAACAGATCGGCATACTGGATGGGCAGCGCAACAGCATAGCCCACGGCAGAAGATTATGTATACGCTGCGCACATGCCAGTCTGAATTTCCCAACTCGACTGAAACCAAACGGGTGACCAGGAGATACCTAAACAGTACTGCGGCTGGATAATTGGTCCCACTCATTCACGGAGAGGGCAAATACACACAAATACCAAGACTGCCTCGCGGGTCCACTCTGGACCAGATCTGGCCCAGAAGGAGCCCGCGAGGCAGGCCTGGTGGCGGCGCACACTTCCCCCCTCCCGACCTTCGCCTCAGTTCGAGAAAGCGACAAATCCCAGCAGGAAGCTGCTCAGGGACGGCGCCTCCTTGAGCTCCACCCCGTGCTTCTTGCAGACCTCGGCGGGCGGGCTGGGGGCGCGATTTTGGAACAATTTGTGAGGAAGTCCCCCGCGCGATTATGAAATCACTTGTGAGGAAGTATCAGGCGGGACAGTTGAAGTTCCGTTCTCACCGGAATGCGGCGGACCGGCGCAGCGCGGATGCACCTCGTGTGGTGACGGGCAGTGAGGGCGGTGCTCCTCTGCACTCGCGCCAGCTGGAGGCGCCCTTCGGAAGCTAGAGGCCGGCTCGGCTTGCGGTCCGGCGCGTGCTGCTCCGGGGGAGAGGCGAGAGCAGGGACGGCGAGCAGGGAGGGACGGGCGACGAGGGGGGCAAAGGGGTGTAGGCAGAGTAAGGGGCGACGGACGAGAGTGAAAGTGTAGGGGGAGTGGGTAAGAAAGGTGCGCTCGCGCCACATCTGACATCCTATCCCTCCTTCCCATCCCGTCCCATAGCGGTGATTTCTTCTCTATCTGAGCATGCGCGTCATAGCCGACCTGGAAGTCCGAAGAAGACACCATCGTGTTATGCGCAGTTGACGAGGGAGCTGCGCACACAAGGGGGAGAAGGGGGAACCAACAAGGGAGTTATTCGTTCGCGCGCCCTTCGCTAGAGAGCCAATCCCGTACCCGTTCAAGGCACGGGCGCGCGAGGCCCTGGCCTTAATCAAGGAAGGTCATGAGCTCCACCATGCGATACGTGCACGGACCCGCGTGGTGACCACCACTCATAGAGGCATCCTAGATGGGGTCCGGGTAGATGGGGTCGGAGGATCGCGCCGCATCGCCAATGCATCGCCGATACATCATTGATGCATTGCCGATGCATCCGCGATGCATCGCCGATGCATCGGCGACATCGGCGGCGCATCGGCGACACCAGAGCGGAGCAAATCAGGACGCATCGGCGATACGTCGGCGATTCGGCGCTATCCTCCGACCCCATCTTCTTGCGCCATGTGATATGTTCCGGGGACCCTGTAACCAAGAATGTTGCTATCTCTTGGGAACGCATTTGTTGCTTCCGCCTGCTTCCGCCGGCGGAGCCGCCCTCGTTTTGTTCCCGCCGCCTTCCGCCGATGAAGAGATGTTAACTCCTCCGATCCTCGAAGGCGAAGCCTTTTCTGGAACCCGCCAATTGCGAGGGGGCCCGCTAGCTCAGATCGCGCAAAGCGGGGAAACCCAAAAGGACGCGCGCGCCCAGTCGCACGCACGAACATGCCCCCCCCGTTCGCGAGGCCGCCCTCGTGCCACGAACGACAGCGTCACGCGCCCTCTCGGGACCCGCGTGGTGGCCTATGAAAAAAACTTGCAGGGCCCATGGACACACAAACAAATATGCACAAATTCACAGATTCTCCATACATGTTGATATATTTGAGATTGTCGTCTCCCCCTTCATCTCCCATATTTCCACAAATTTCCTGGATATAGACGATTATGTGAATGCGTTTTTGCGATTGTGGTTGTGTGGTTGTGCGTGTGCGTGTGAGTGTGCGTGTGTGTGTGTGTGCGCGTGTGCGTGTGAGTGTGCGTGTGCGTGTGCGTGTGCGGGTGCGGGTGCGTGTGCGTGTGCATGTGCATGTACGTATGCGTGTGCCCGTGCGCGTTTGCGTGTGCGTGCGCGTGTGCGTGTGCGTGTGCGTGTGCGTGTGCGTGTTCGTGTGCGTGCGCGTGTGCGTGTGCGTGTGCATGCGCGTGTGCGTGTGCGTGTGCGTGTGCGTGCGCGCGCGCGTGTGTGCGTGTGTGTGTGCGCGCGCGTGTGCGTGTGCGTGTGCGTGTGCGTGTGCGTGTGCGCGTGCATGTGCGCGTGGGCGTGGGCGTGCGTGCGGGCGCGGGCGCGGGCGCGGGCGTGGGCGCGTGTATTCACCGCAGGCCAATTTGCATCTAGCGCACCGCACCGATGCCCGATCGCCTCTGCCCAGCCGCCGACACAAGAAGTGCGCGTGCGTGCGTGAATGCGCGCGCGCGCGTGCGAGAGAGAGGGAGAATGCATTGAATATCAGTGAATGCGTGTAACGTGTGCGTGTTTGACGGTGTGCGAATGCGTGCATGCGCGCGCGTGTCTGTGCGTGTCTTTGTGTGTGTGTGTGTCTATGTGTGTATGTGCGCGTCTGTGTGTGCGTGTGTGTCTGCGTGTGTGTGTCGATGTATCTGCGCGTGTCTGTGCGTGTCTGTGCGTCTGCGTGTGTCTGCGCGTCTGCGCACGTGTCTGCGCATGTGCGCGCGCATGCGCGCGCGTCTCCGCGCCCCCTTTTGCTCGAGCCGTCCGGGCTCGAGCGCGCCCCTGGCTCGGGCGCGGCGCTCTGGCCCCGGCGCGATGGAGACGGCGGCGGCGCGGCGGCGGCGGCAGCGGGCGGCCGCCTCCGCCCGAGATGTCCGCGGCGCGGGCGCCGCGGGCGCAGCCGGCGCCGCGGGCGCCGCCGGCGCCGCGGGCTCCGCGGACGCGCTGGGGCCGTTGGCGCCGCGCGCGCGGCCGCGCTGCTGGCGCCACTGGCGCCGCCGGCGCAGCGGGCGCCGCGGGCGCCGCGGACGCCGCGGGAGCTCCAGGCCTCGTCGGCGCCGCGGGCGTCGCTTGGGCTACTGGCGCCGCGCGCGCCGCCGGCGGGCGCCGCTGGCGATGCGGGCGCTGCCTGCGCCGCGGGCGCCGCGGGCGCCTCGCGCGCTGCGGGCGCCGCGGGCGCCGCTGGCGCCGCGGGCGCCGCGGGCGCCGCGGGCGCCGTTGGGTGCACCTGCGCCGCGCACACCGCTGGCGCCTCCGGCGCTTCGGTCGCCGCTGACCCCTCGGTCGCCGCAGGCGCGGCTGGCGCCGCCTCGGAAGCTGCGGCCGCGGCAGCGGCGGCGGCCGCTGCCGGGCTCTGGGCGGCGACGGCCGCCCTCGCCCGGGCGGCGGCAGCCGCGGCCCGCGCGGCGGCCCGGCCGAGCGCGCCACCTGGCCTGGAACATCTCGAGGGCCACGACGGACTCCGACAGGACGGACACGAGCAGCACCGGGGACTCCACCAACAGGATAGCGCGCAGCATGACGGACCCCATGAGCACCATCATGAGCAGCACGATGGACTTCAGCAACACGACCGCGAGCAGCGCGACGAAGTCCAGCAGCCCCAGCACCATCCGGGCCAATGCGTGCGAGAAGGGCTGGCAGGAGCAGCGGCAGCCGGCCCTTGCGCTGCTCCGAGACATGTTGGGAGCGACGCCGGAGCCCACCATCAGTTGCTCCAGCGCCCCGACCAATTCTTGCGAGAGGACCTCGCAAGGGCAGTGGCAGCCAGCCTTCGCCCTGCTACGAGGCACGTTGGGGGCGATGCTGGAGACCGCCTTCAGCTGCCCCAGCACCCCGACCAATGCGCGCGAGAACGACTGCGTGGTCACCACCAGATACCGCGAACCACGAACAATCGACTTCTCATTACTTCGCACCCGCAAGGTGCGCCACGCGCAAGGAAACATCGGGGCTTCGAGCGCCAGCTACCCCAGCATAAGCGCAACTCCCACGTCCACGTCCACCACCTTCGCCCCGAGGGCAGCGGCACCAAACCGAAGAGTTCTTCCACGCGGAGCCACCGCATCTGAAATTCAAACCAAGGCAATCTGAAAGTCAGACGGGGCCAATCTGAACTCCAGACCGGGCCAATCTGATTTTCAGACGGGGCCAATCTGAATAGTTTACGCGCAGAGGTCTCAAGCCGAACGCCTCGCCTGAGTCCCCGGGGGGGGCAATCTTAATTTCAGACAAGGGCAGTCTGATTTTCAGACAGGGGCAATCTGAATTTCAGATGCGGGCAGCGTCGCCCCAAACAACAATGCGCCATGATTTCCCTCCGCGATCAACGCGAAGCGAAGGAAATGCACGACCCCGCCGTGCCCGTGACGGTGCGCCGACATGCAAGTCACATGAACTCGACAATCGCGCGCGTGCGCGACGACGCCGAGCGCGCCGACGCGTCTGCGCAGCCTACGAAAAGCCCAGACATCAAAATTAAGTTGAATATTTTGATGTTGGGGGCGTCTTGTGATCATGAGGTAGAATAGAACTGGGCGGGAGGAAGCAGCCGGTCATGGCCCCGCTAGACGAAGTAGCGGGAGCGACGCCTGAGCCCAGCACCGTCTGTTACAGCGCCCCGATCAGCGCGCGCGGGAAGGGCTGGCAGGAGCAGCGGCGGCCGATTCCGGCGCCACTCCGACAGACACCGGGAGCGAAGCTGGAGCCTACCATCAACGACAACTCCAGCACCTCGACCAGCGCGCGCGAGAGAACAACAAACAGGGGCAGGGGCAGCTGGCCCAGACGCTTCTCGGCCAGGTGCTGGAGGCGAAGCTGGAAGCCCACCGCGATCTGCGACGTCGCCCCGATCAGCACGCGCGCGACGAAATTTCACGGCGAGATGCTCGCCGCGAAGCTGGGGAACCCCATCATCCGCTACAGCGCCCAGATCAGCGCGCGCGAGAAGGACAAGCAGGGATGCCGGGGGCAAAACTGGAGCCCGCCATCTTCATCTGCCGCAGCGCCCCGATCTGCACCTGCGAGAAGGACTGGCAGGAGCAGCGGCAGTCATTCCTGGCGCTAGCTCGAGAGGCGTGGCAAGTGAAGCCGGCGCCCGCCATCATCTCCGTCTGCTACAGCGCCCCGACTAGCGCGCGCGAGAAGGACGGGGAGGGGCACCGGCATCTGACCCCGGCGCTGCCCCGAGGGACGCTGGGAGCGAAGCTGGAGGGCCCACAAGCGCGCGCTCCCGCGCCCCGATCAGCGCGCACGAGAAGCGCGGGCAAGGGCAGGGGCAGCTGGCCCTGGCGCCTCTCAGCGAGATGCCGGGGGCGAAGCTGAAGCCCAACATCGGCCGCTACATCGCCCCGGCCGGCGCGCGCAGGACGAACGCGTACAGCGGGATGCTGGCCGCGAAGCCGGAGCCCACCAACATCCGCAACAGCGCCCAATCTATCAGCGCGCGCGAGAGAAAGACAGGCGGGGGCAACGACAGCCAGCTCTGGCGCCGCTCAGCGAGATGCTTGGGGCAAAACTGGAGACCACCATGATTTGCGACTGCGCCCCGATCTGCGCGCGCGAGACGAACGGGCAGAAGCGGCGGCCGCTGGCCCTGTCGCTGCTCGGCAAGACGCCGGGTCTGAAGCTGGGGCCCGAGCATCCCGACCCATAATCTAATCAGCGCGCGGGTCGCATCCCCGACCCACCATCCGCTGCAGCATCCCCAACCCATCATCGGGCACTGCCAGCAGGGGCCGTCGGCCCTGGCAGCGGCGGCGCGGTCGAAACGAACGCGGAGGCGCGCGAAGACGCCGACGACGAAGCGGGGGAGGGGAGAGGCCAGGAAGGAGTTCGACGACACGCGCGATGGGGACAGCGAAGAGGACGCCAGGGAGGTGGCCATGGAGGAGGAGGGGGACGCCGAGATGAGGGAGGCCGTCGACGTCGTCGCGGAGGCGGGCGTCGACGGGGGTGGTTCTGGGAGTCGGCCCGCGAAGCGCTGACGTTCAGCGATGCCCTGGAGCGGGGGGGCCGGGCGCTCTCCTGGGGCCCTGCCAGCGTCGCGGCCGACGGCAGCGCGGACGTGGAGGAGCAGGACGGCGACGACCTGAAGCTTGTCCCCTATCCTGCGCACGCCAATCCTTCCGACGCGGCACCGCCAATCTTGTCGACGTTACGCCGCCAATCGCAGCCCGGCGACGCCGCCCCAGACGCGGGGGGGCAGGGCGAGCTCGTCCTGCGCCGCTTTGTTGACAGGGCCAACAAGAGAAAGCTCAGTCTGCTACACACCCTCATTGCTGCCGATCCAGTCTGCTACCTTTCCCACGGGCCGCGCGAATCCAGGGGCGGGCGCGGGGGGGGGGCGGGGCACGGGGGGGGAGAGGGGCGCCGGGATGAGGAATGCCGTCGACGCGGTCGGGGAGGTGGGCGTCGACGGGGGGGGTCGAGGAGGCGGCCCGCGCAGCGCTGGCGCCCAGCGACGCCGCGGCGATCCTGTCGACGTCGCGCCGCCACTCGCTGCCCGACGACAGCGCCCCAGAAGAACGGGGCGAGCTCGCCCTGCGCCGCCTCGCTGCAAACGGCTGCTTTGCGCCGCTGCGGCCCGCGTCGCCGGACAGCGACAGCGCGGCCCCAGTCGAGCGCCGCGGCAGCGGGAGGTCGCGCGAGGGCGGAGACAGCCCCGCGAGCAAACTCGTCCAACGTCCCCAATGGGCGGACCACGAGGACGACGCCGTCGATCCCCCCCCGCGGGCGCGGACTCTCCCGCGAGCTCACCGGCGTCTTCCCGGTCCGAGTTGGCCAACGAGATCAGAGGTGCGCGATAAGGCGCTTGCGCACGACAGCCGCGCGACTCCCACCAGTCCCCCATCGATCATGACCCGCGCGACCGCTGCGGAGGCGCCGCCGCGGGACGGACCTCGCCTCGCCCAGCTGGCACATCGCGCCCTCTGGCTGACGGCCACAGAGGCGTGGGCTGACCCCCCGCGGACTCGCGAAACACTGGGATCACTGCACCTGGGCCCCCTACCAATGTGCGAGGGGTCATTGCACCAGGGCGGAGCTCGCCCAGAAACGGCCCCTGCGACCCCTACCACTGCGGGCGGCAAACGGCTAGCACTCACGCCCCGCCAGCTTCGCGGCAAACGCCTTGCACTCGCGACTGGACAGGCCGAAGCAGACGAGGGCCCTGAATCGACCAGACGCCTGGCCGGCTTGGCGGTTGCCTCCAAGGAACAGCTCGTGGCCCGTATCAAACGGCCGGGGGGGGGCAGAGCAAGATGGCTTGGAGAGCGCACTGCGCACAGTACGGCGGCAACACGCTGGACCCATGGTTGCTTGAGTGAACTGCCTGCCGGCGCGATTTCTTTGCAGCGCGAGTACGGCGCCGCAATGCAGTTCTCGAGTCGGGCTGTCACACATCGGAAAGGCCCTGATCTGTCGCTGCTTGCTTTGTTACACACCGATCAGTCGCTCGTGTCACTCGCCGATGCGTCGCCTGCTGTGTATTCACCGATGTATCGCTCTGGGCGCGCGCCGCTCTGTCGCCCTTGGCTCCGCCATGTTTCACTGGCCCTTGCTTCGCCCACTCCCGGCCTTCGGCCCCGTGGCGTCTGTTTCCTGTCGAAGGTGGCGTGGCGTTCTTGCCATCCTCCGGCGGCGCCCCCCCCCTCGGTGGCTCGTCGGCCACCCCCTCCTCCTCGTGGGTCGCGGGGTTCGCTCGGTCGCCGTCGTCGTCGATCGTGGGCTCGGCCGTGTCGTGGGGTCCCCCGCCGCCGTTTTCCGTGCTTCCTTCCTGCTTGTGCGTTGTTTGCTCGTTCCTCCCCTCTTTCCCTTTTTCCGGGCGGGTCGTCCCCACTACGGGGGTTGCGCCGGGTGCTTTCTCTTCTGGCGCCGCGTCTTCTGGACCCTCCGATTTGTTTTCCGTGTGGGTGGGCCTTCTGGGGTGGTCTTGCGTTTGCCACCGCCGAGGTATGTCCTGCACATGGTGTTTTTCTTCAGGCTCGGCGTAGGTTCTTCCACTGGACCTCCTGCGAGCCTCGCGGCGCCTTCCGCGTCTTTTCTGAAACGTCCTGGATCGATTTGGCGGCGACCTAGACGGCGGTGCGTACAGGACACCTGGCGTCTCTACTTGCGTTACTCGAGCGGTACCCTACAAATCTATGTTGGTCGGTGCCTCTATTGCAGCCTGTTCTCGGCCAGCCTGGGCACGTCACTGGCACTGGCCTGGTTTGGTGGCGCGTGCTGCCCTGTCACTACCCATCCAGGTAGCATTTCATGTATTTACGCTTTGCATTGGGCGTCGCCAGCTCGTTGGAAAGAGTCTACCCATTCGTTTCGCCAGGTCGTAGCTTCTTCAATTACTTTTCCTCCAACTGGTCTGGCAGCTTTACAGGTTTCTGTTGTCGTTCGTCACTGTCTACTGTCTAACATACTTATGTGGATTCAGTGGCACCGAATTAGCACCAGACTGGTGCTTGCGCTTCAAGTTACCCACGTCGAGCTTATGTTCCAGGGGGGGGGCCGCTGCACGTTGGCTTTACAGCGCCTCTCGGTGTTGCACAAGACCACCTTCTGCATGGCCATGGCTGGGCTTTTCCATCATGGCGCGTTCAACGAAGTTCGTTCGCAATTGGCAACTCCACCTGCCGACCGCACCCGAAGTTCTTCTGCGCCGCCGATACAAAAGTGTGTGTGCGTGTCTGTGTGTGTTGTGCGTGTGTTTGTGTGTCTGTGTCTGTGTCTGTGTCTGTGTCTGTGTCCGTGTCTGTGTCTGTGTCTGCGTCTGTGTCAGTGTATGTGCCTCTGTCTGCGTCTGTGTCTGTGTCTAAGGTCGGTGTCCGTATCTGTGTGACTGTGACTGTGAGTGTGAGTGTGACTGTGAGTGCGACTTTGAATGTGACTGTGAATGTCAATGTGGAAATGAATGTGAAAATGAATGTGACTCTAGATGTGAATGTGAATGCGGATGCGAATGTGAATGCGAATCATAATCAGAATGTGAATGTGTGTTTGTGTCTATTTGGCACTCTTAGACGACCTGATCCCCAAGCAAAATAACCACTCTGGAGGGGGACCACCTTTCACCTCCGACGGCTTCCGCGGGCCTTCCGCCCGCACCCGCCGTCGGAGCAGCCCCCGTTTTACTTCCACCGCCTTCTGCTGGCCGTCCGCGGCCTCCCGCCGAGGAAGAGATGCCGACTCCTTCGATCCTTGAAATCGAAGCCCTTTCTGGAGCGACCCGTGTGAGCACGTTGGAGGTGGCCTGGGTCGGGCTTTGGCAGAACTGCGTTGAGCAAGGCCTGGTTTAGTGGTGTACAGTTTTTCACCACGGATCCGTTTTTGACGGCCCTGGGGCCCGAAAACGGCCCCGAGAGGCTGAAAAAAGCAAACAACGATAGACAAAATCTCCTCGGCACCGGAGCCTCGAACCTCGCCCCCCCTCTTCTGCTCGCCGGAACCAGTGCTGGGCCACCTCAGACACCAGCCGACTCCAACATGTAAGCGTGCGTGTTCGATGCGCTCCTGACGCAATCCGTCTGTGCCGTTGCGCTCGTGCTCTGTCGTCGTGGCCCAGCCGCCGAACAGAGGCATGCTCCTGCCCGGCGGCGGCGCTGCAGCAGGTGCCCACCCCAGCTGCGCCAGGAGCTCCGCACGTCGTCGTCCCGTCGTTTCGGCCGCCCTTCGTGTGGCCGGCCCTCCGTATTGTCGCGTATTTCGGCGGCGCGCCTAGGGAGGAAGGCAGAGTGGACTGGCGTTTTCAGAAGGCTCAGAAAACCTCTGGCCTCCTGAGAAGCTTTCGAAGTCTTCTCCGAAGCCCCGGAGGGCTTCCCAGAAGGCCGAAGGGCTTCTCAGAAGCCCCGCCGCCTTATGAGAAGGCCTGTCCCCTCTGTTATCTCACTCCCCCCCTCGGCGCGCCGCGGGTTCCATTCGAGCACTGTATGTCCAGCGGGTACCGGGGCGGTGAGCTACAACACTCGCTCACTGCCGAGCCTTCTTGAGACACCTGGAATAGATTTGGCATGTAATGTTTAGGCATCAGATCAAGTCAAATCTGGTCGAGGGGCCTGGAGGCCGCTCGCTCCGCAAGCGGAGACGGAGGGCGTGAAACACTACGGCAAGAAAACGCGCATGCACGCATGCAAGAGAAATGCTGGGTATAAACATAGATGTTAAACTCTATATTACATCATGCGTCCCACCACACGTAATTCAAAAATGCAGTCTCCAACCGCTGCCAGGGGAACGGCTCTTGGCGACCTACAACATGTGATGAACTCGTGCCTCGCTCTTGTCCTGAGAAAGAATCGACGGCATCTGTCCATCTACGTCGCGGCCAGCCTCGGCATCGAACTCCGCTCCCGCTATCCGCGAGCTTCTGCGCACGATGTTGGGCAACAACTCGACGCCCTAACCCCGCATGGTGCCAGGTTGCGCACACACGCCGTCGCTGACGTCGTCCTGTAGATCGGGCCGGCTGGTAGGTGAGTAGCTGCATACGTCGGACTCGACTGAGTCGTTAGGGTCAACGATGCAGGTGTCGTAGTCGTTACATGAGTTGCGGTGCAGAGGTGGTGATGCGACTCTGCGCCTCCTTGTCGTTCCGATTCTCCTACAGACGATTCTTATCTCTGTTCGGCGTAACTGATGCTTGAAAGGCGTAGTAGCCTACGCATCTCCGCCGTACGTCATAGCACGTGTGACGGTGCCTCTTTCTAGGCGAAGTCTGCGGCCCAGTGTCAGTAGGTCCGTAGGTACTCTTTGAGTTGAAATCTTGCCGATGGCCACTGGCACATGCTGGGGAGGGGAGAGGGAGAGGGGGAAGACGGAGAAGGAAGATGAGGAAGAGGAGGGGAGAAGACGAGGGGAGGGGAGGGGAGGGGAGAGAGGCTGGAGCGAGGAAGAGTGAGGGAGGAGGGAGGACGAAGGAGGACGAGGAGGAGGAGGAGGACGAGGAGCAGGAGGAGGACGAGGAGCAGGAGGAGAGAGGACGGAGGAGGAAGGAGGGACGGAGGAAGAAAGGAGTAGGAAGGAGGAGGAGAGAGGAGGGAGGATAGGGAGGAGGTGGAAGGAAGGATGGTGAGGAGGAGAAGACGAGGAGCAGGAGGGAGGGAGCAGGAAGGAGGAGAGCGCAGGGAGGGCGGAGCAGAAACGTTGCAGCGGAGGCGCGCTTGGCTCCGAGGCGGCGCGCGGGGCCTCGCGAAAGGCGGGGTACATCGCGCGCAGGTGCATGGCCGAGATGGAGGGGAAGCAGTGGTGGATCGCCTGGCCGGCGAGAGAGGAGGAGGAGGAGGAGGAGGAGGAGGAGGAGGAGGAGGAGGAGGAGGAGGAGGGAGAACGAGGGTAAAGGAGGGTGAAGGAGGAAACGGGAGGAGGCGCAGACGACGTGGAGGAACTGTAGAGGAGTGGGAAGAAGATGGGATAGACAAGACTCCGCCCTGAGCGTGTTCGCAGATGCGACGCGGGATAAAGGGGAGTGGGATACGGGGGAACGGGAGGGAAGGATCAAAGAGAGGATTGTAAGGGAGGGCGCGGGCCCCAGCGGGGGGAAGGGACGACAGAGGCTGGAGGATTGAGGAGGGAGAGGGGAGGAGGGAGGAGCAGAATTGACGAGTAGGAACAGTGGACATTCGAGGAGGAGGATTGGGGAGTTGAAGGCACCAGGAGGATGGAGAGAGGATGCAAGGAGGACTTAGGAGAAGCAGTGGTGGGTCGCCTGGTCGCTCCACCCTGATCACCGGTGACCCTCCTCGGATGTCCCCTTTTCCACAGTCCCTTCCTCGTCCTCTCCAATCTCCACGTCTTCCTCGTCCTCCCCCTCCTCATCATCCTCACCCTGACGCTGACGCTGCTGGCGCATGAATGCCAAGGGATGCTGCCATCCCCCCCCCGCGGGGCGGTCGCCCTGGGGGGGAATAATCAACATTCGCAACTACTGCAAACAAGCAAGAAAAGGAAATTCGAAAGGAGAAGAACACTCAGTTGGCGGGGCTCATCTCCTCCATTGCCCACCCCCCGTCCACAGTTGGACAGAGCGGCGCATGCGAAGGGCGGAGGTGAGGGTGCAGGGAGGTAGGGCCAGGGCGGCTGGCGTGGGAGACGTTCCTGAGCTTGGCCTGAAAAGAAGGGGCGCTGAAGACAGGAGGGAGAGGTTGGAACCGGGTGGCATGCGGCGTGCAGGCCGTGGGTAGTGCAGCTCCTGCGAGCGCGCGAGCCACGGCCGCCCTTGCCCTAGCCAAGGGCGGCCAGTGATGTTGGTTCCCACGCATTCCCCCCAAAACACACACACACACACACACACACACACTCTAACACCCCGACCACTGTTCGCAAGGCGGAGCCGAAGACTGGCGGAGGTGCAGGTAGCGAAGAGAGTGGTGATGGCCAGGGAGAACTGAGGTGCGGGAATCCTGAGGTGGCTGCCGCAGCCAGCGTGAGGAACGTTCCACAGCTTGGCCCGAAAACGGGGGGCGCCGGAGACGGCAGGGAGGGCGGAGCGGGGTGGCGAGCGGTGTGTAGGCTGCGGGAAGCGACCCCTGGCGCAAGGCGCCCTCGCGGCGCTCACGGGCGGGCACCAGGCGAAGCCTCGGCACACACCCCGAGCGCGCGGCGCCCACGAGGCGCCCACGGGCACCCACCAACCGGGCACCAGCCGGAACCCTGGCATACCCATCCAATTCCTCAAAGGAGAGGGGCAGGAGCCACTGAGCGCAAGCATGGACAGGGGAACAGCCATGAGCATGCGGAGGTCCGGACGAACTTCTTAGGTCGGCGCTGGACTCCACCTCCATTCCCGCACCCCTGCCCCAGCGCCGCCCAGGGGGTGCGAGGAGGAGGGGGGGGAGGAGGAGGAGGAGGAGGAGGAGGAGGAGGAGGAGGAGGAGGAGGAGGAGGAGGAGGAGGAGGAGGAGGAGGAGGAGATCCAGCGCCGATCCAGGAAACCCGCGCGGACCTCCGAAAGCTTGCGCTTGCGTCATTCTTGGAACTGAAATGGCGGCGTTGGCTCTGGTTCTTGTCACCACGTGGACGTGCACCCAAGGCATCCAGCGGCTCGTCTTTCTCGAGAAATGGCCCCTATTCCTGAGGCTGGCCTGGCTTTACATCCTGAGTCGATCTGGGACGGCCCAGGGTGCCCGAGACCAGCATCTGAAAGCCGAGAGCGGCACAACGAACGTCTCAGCCTGTCGCGGCGGCTTTCTGGAACCACTCAACCCCGAGCGTTCTCCACCGTCGGGGGCCACCCCAACCAAGGGCTGCCGGGAGGATAATTTGGCCTCGAGAGCCCATCGCCCGCACCGCGCCGCCAGACCTCCGCCCAAGATGCCGATCTCGCCTGCTCATGAGGGGGCGAGTCTTCAAGAATCACTCATTCAGGGTGCTCTTCTGTGCCGCTGCAACGACTCAGTGGTACTCCGAACTCCTCCTAATCATCATCCTCCATCCTTGCGAGAGGCCGCGTACCACGTGAAGGCCCCACGCCAGCCCGTACCCCTGTAGGGGCTGAAGAACATGTTTGCACCCACACCTGCAGCAATAAGGAGCCATTTGTAGTTGACGCGCCTGAAGAAAGCATCGAACAGGCCAGGGCGGTGCAGAGAACGCACAGGGCCGCCTTGTAACCATAGATGATAGGTGGTCGAGGTGGCTTTTCCTCTGCCGATAGAGGGTTCCCACTGCACCCAAACCCGACGTGCCGCATGCTCGTCCCGCGTCCTCCTCCCCCTGTTTCCCATGGCAGCAACGCATCTGTTCCAGCTTCCGAATCACTGCGCCCTCCTGCCTTGGACTATACGAGGTGGGCACCGACGCGTTCTCGTGAGTCTCCTGGCCCCTCGCCAGCCCTCTGAATCGGGCGTGGACGAACCGAGCTCGGCGCAAACCCGGCTCCGATTTCAAAAAGAAACCGCGCTGCAGCTCTCGGGGGGGGGGCTCCCCAAACCCGGCCCAGTCCATATGCAGGGCCACCTCCAGAGCCGCGGGCGGCTCCCAAACCCCGAGGAAAGCAAAAGGTACCGATGCCGCTGCTCCTCGGACCTCTCTTGGGGTGCGTTTCGACCAGGATTTCGGAGCGAATCCAGCGGGTGGCGACGAGGACCTCCCAGGATGCCCAAAAAGCGGAAAGCGGGCGAGGGGTGGAGGTGTGGGCATGTGGCGGCAGGAGCAGCAGCAAATGGTTTTGGACTTGAGCTAGTAAGGCGTACAGGTACTAGAGGGCCCAATCCCCTGGGCACGGGCCAAGGAAACTAAAAGCTAAACCTAAACACATAATTGTGCCAGAGATTCACACGGGTCAACCTTTCTAGTTTAGCTGATCCGAGCGTGTGAAACACGCCTCAACACACGGGCTTGGTGATTGTCACCTGCCCCTGCGTACCCACACTGCACGCCAGCGCACGCACATGTCTTAGGAGGAGAGAAGGAGGGAGAAAAGATCACTAGAACTGGCCGGAACCGTCGGACTCGGCACAAGATTCGGACACGAATGACGTCCAACTGACAGACTCCCGATCCTTGGCGAATGTCCTGAGGGAGGCAACTTGCGACCTCGCCTTCTGGGAAAGGTCCTCCCGCCTGCCGACCAGCTCTCGGTCCTCATCCACCAGCAGTAGGCGGCCTGACGCCATCAGGTCAAACAGTGCGGCGTTTACTTTGGTAACATCATCCTTCGTGAGGGGATCCACCGACATCCTAGAATGGGGCACCCACCTCACGACACTTTTCGATCGCTCGAGCGACTCGCAGATGATCGCTAGATCCAGACCCGTCCTTCTATCCTTCGCACTCGATGTCCCATCCTTCGCCATCGTATCATAGATACTCTTGGCTTCCAATACATGAATATGTCGCTCTCGATGTCCGAGTCTGCAGTCCTGCCGAACGACAGTGGTAAACGGTCCTGCAGCTCTCGAACACTCTGGAATATCTACATCCTGGAAAACTGCATCTCTGCACAGCACTTGCAGGCACTCGACTTCTGATACTGCTGATGCGAGAGCCAGCGTCTCGCCTGCGAGGGTGTGTGGAACCTTTCTTCTGAGCTTGGACGACCCCCACCCAAGAATCGACGCCCTGACTGCGCGATTCTGCAACACACTCTGATCGGTGGCCAGCACCATCCACGCCCCCTGGGTCAGATTCTCTGGGAGCCCCTTAGAGTCGACCCCGCTTGCACAAGCTCCCACCCCTCCGGCGTCAGAGAAGGCGATGAAGGCCATCTCGCTGGGGTCGAGACGCCACGCTGACAGGCCTCTGGGCGCCGTGCTCCTCAAATGACGCACCAGCTTGTTGGCACGCGAAACGTCCCAAGAAGTCCCTTGTTTCAGCCTTGACATCAGAATACTCGCTACTCCTGACGCCTCTGGTCGCGTCTCTCTACCAACCCAGTTCAGCTTGTATATGAGAGACCTCAGGGCCTTGAACTCTGTCGGGTCCAACTGGGGGTCCTTCTTACTAGGCCCCCCGGGAGCCACGCTGAGGGGCCTGAGTTCCTCCAGGATGTATTTCTTCTGGTCGACTGCGATGCGCTGGGGTGTCCACGTTATCCTGCGACCGGCGCAGCCCACCGGCGACGCGCGCAGGCCCCGGCACTTCCCAAGACGGAACCTAAGACTCCAACATCACTCGCAATTGCTGTCTGACCTCGGGAGTGGACGACGCAATAAAGAAATCGTCGACTTCGAGCAGTAGCATACTCTCGAGGCCGTTCCCTTTCTTGCGCTTCAACCATCAGCAGGGTTCCAACAGGGACCTCGCACCCCCATGATGATCGGACAGTGACTGAATCACGGTCTTCCGCCACGCGGCAGGAACATCGCCCAGGCCGTATACGTTTACAATGAGCTCGATGATCGCTCCCTCCTCGACTCGGACTCCGACTGACAGAAAGCATCTGTTACATCGGCTATGTCTCCGTACATGCCGTGATTCATCAGAACCTGCATAAACATCATTAGGTAAGCGGACTGAGGGGTCGGCGCAAAGACTGCGAGGGCGCCTGCGACATGGCCCTGGTGGCCATTAACACGCCACCCAGACTTCGCCGTCGGCTCCGCAAACGTTCCCTCGCTTCCATCGGCGCACCATGCAAGACGAGACGATCCTCTCGGGCTGCATCTCGCGGATGATCTTCGCTTTCTTCGGAGGAATGATGCGCGCGGCCCCGGAGCTCTCCATGTTTTTTTCCACTCGGCCCCGTCGGAAATCTCAAACTTGGCCCTCTCGGCCAGAGCGAGCTTGGACCAGATAATTCCCCCCCCCTCGGCCAG